AAGAGGAAGGGAAATGAGGAGGGAAATGAGGGAAGAGGAGGAGGGGAAATGAGGAGGGAAGAGGAGGAGGAAGGGAAATGAGGAGGGAAGAGGAGGGAAATGAGGAGGAAGGGAAATGAAGAGGAAGGGAAATGAGGAGGGAAATGAGGGAAGAGGAGGAGGGGAAATGAGGAGGGAAGAGGAGGAGGAAGGGAAATGAGGAGGGAAGAGGAGGAGGAAGGGGAATGAGGAGGGAAGGAGAAAGGAAGGAGGATGAAGAGGGAGGAGAGTAGGAGGATGAAGGAAATGGAAGAAGAGGAAAAAGATGGAAAAGAAGGAAAAGAACGAAGGAGGAAGAAAAAGCAGKAGGAGGATGAAGTAGAGGAAGAAGAGTATGAGGAAGAAGGACTAAAAGGAAGGAAATGAAAGGAAGATGAAGAGAAAGAAAATGGAAAAGTAGGAAAAGAAAGGAGGAAAATGAAGAAAAGAGGAAGGAGGATGAAGAGGAAAAGTAGGAGGAAGGAGGAAATGAAAATGGAGGAAGAAGAGGAGGAAAAGGAAGAAAAAGAGAGGAGGAAGAAGGGAAAGAGGAAGAGAAAGTAGAGGAGCAAAATGTGGTGCTGAGTGATTTAAAAGCAGCCCTGTTGTTTCTGTGCTGCAGCAGGTAGACAGTTTGTTTACATTTGAGCAGAAACAAATCCAGGAGTGAGGAAGACGAGGTCCAAACTGACCTGACTGATGTGGAGAGCTGTGCTCATTTCATCACTTTCATTTAATGTTTTTATTCTTGTAAGAAGAACTGGCAGCACTGACGAGAAAAACATTTCTAATCTCAACTTTCCCTGTTCGAGGTTGCAGGACAGAACAAAACAACAGAAATAAAAGTTTAATAAACCCCAAAATAAAGTCATTTTTTTATTTGCCTGGCGTGTCCTTACTACATTTTCTGATAAGGCTTTAGTTTTAAAACACATCCGTGTTTTTATCTGACGTCTTTTATTTCRCTGTCTATAAAGGGACTGTGGGCAGCGAGTTAATTCATTATTGCAACGCTGCTATCTTAATTATGTGCCCTCCAGCCAGAGCACCGCTCTGAAACTGTTTGACACCACCGAGCAAACGGGGCAGATATCAATCAGAATGTCTTTTCACTTGGCTTCAGTCAGGAAATTCTATAGACTGAATGAGTAAAGCAGAGATTAAACGTATTTAACTGGGGAGAAGGCAGAAATATGCTCTTTATCACCCAGGCGGAGAGAGATGTCTGGATTAGGACATGTAAAAGCTGAATCTTCTGCAGGGAGGGAAAGACAAATCTCTCGTCCTGGCTGTTGTCCACGTTGCGAAGCTCGGCGTGGAAAATTCCTGCACACCACAAAGACTGCGGCGCATCCCTTTCATCATCCTCGTTCTCACTGTTAAACAAGTTTGACTGTTTTTATTTTTTTCCCCTTTGTTGATTCGAGAGAAGCCATTAGTGCGTTGCTTTTGTTTACCCCCGCTCCCGATTGCCTTAGATGTTTTTAAGGAGCTGCTGTGCTGCAAATGGAGGCAAGCCCTGCCTGTAATAGATTGTGACAGGTAATCCAAACACATAACATTAGAATAAGCAGCAGTCATTGATCCAACCAACTCAAAAAGCCCCCGCAGGCAACCGCGAGAAGTCTTCTTGCAGTTGCCGCGTATTTCAGAAGACTAAAAATATAACTGTCATTTCACGGAGAAATTCCCGAGAATTCTGTAGAAAACCCTGCCACTAATGGTCACGTCAATTTAAATGTTTTCCACATTTCTCTGTAGCTGTTTTTTGCCTCTTTTGCTCAAATATTTTGTGTTTTTTTTCTTTTAATAAGATGAGGTWGTAGTTTTCTCTGAGGCGAGTTGTGTAGATGAATAAAGCAGCATGCTTTTGTTACCGACACTTCCAAGCCTCCTCTCATAATCCGAGTTAACGCAGAGTAAGAGATAAAGATATAAAATATCAAATTTTATGCTTTTGATGTATTTTTTGTTTAAAATCCTGCTCGACGAAATCGTGATGAAGTTGAGGAGTTCTTTAAATTTAAAAGCAGGAGGTGAATAGTTCACCGTGTCCTAACCCCCGTCTTTCAGACAATACAGCGCTTCTTATTTCTCTCTGCGTTTCTCCCTCGGAGAAGTCTCTGCTATTGATGTGCAGCTTTCAGAGGGATTGTCTGAGGTCAAGGTGAAGRGTGAACTTGGAGAGCTGTAATCCAGAGGTTAAGACGTGTGCAGGAGAGGATGTCTTTGAGCAGCACAGAGGCAGAGCTGCTCCTAACCGTCCAAGTTCTGACATTAAATTTAGAGAGCAGCTCGTAAAGGCTGTTAAACCCTCTCAAACCAACAACGCTGCCCTCCTTGTAGTTTAGGGTACTTTAGTTTGGTGTGATTTTAATGTAGAAAGTAACCGAATGCTAAAGTTTACTGCATCAGTATTATAATATGGACGCTGTCATGTTTTTCTGCATTAATTTGAGTTAAAAATATGTATTTTTGTCCATTTTATAAGAATACATAACCTGCTTCAGATCATAAGAGAAAAACATAAATCGAATTTTGTATTAGATAAATCACAAAAATAAAACATTTAAATATTTTGCATTAAGAAACAAAAAGCAGAACAAAAACTTGAAAGAAGCTAAAAAATTACAGGATTAAAATATGTTCTTTAAYTATTGTCCAACTGGTCAATGTCATGAACAACCAAGAGCTTTACATATGATACAATAAGATATAATATACGATGATTTAATASAGTACAAAATGGTACAATATAATCTACCATGTAGTACTGCTTGACAGTGTGATACAGAGCAGTACAATTTAATACATATACCGTACAGTACAAAACACTACAATATACCATATAGTACAATAGGATACCATGATACAACACACTACAAAATAATGCAGTACAATACAATTTTACAGTACAAAATGTTGCAATACAATATTCCATACAGTACTGTGTGAAACAGTATGATACAATCCAGTACAACACAATACTGTATTCCATGCAGTACTATGTAGGCTTTTTTACAATGTAAGGCCCAGCCTGGGTTCAACATTAGCTGTTAGGGCCAATTCCACCCCAGTTTCTAGAACCCTGAGATTGTGGTTCTATTCTGGGCCGGGCTGCTCGGCCTGATTTGACGTCTACTACTGTTGTTTGTTGATTGATTCCTTGACCGAGGGGGATTTATGTCAACACAGATGAGATTGTCTTTGCATGTCGTTTGCAGTGACTGCAATGTTTTTCTTCCAGGAGATCAAATGAACAACTTTAGCAAGCTACCAAACGACAAGCTAACAATAGCTACCATTAGTTTACCATCCCATGTCGACTTGCCTTTTCATTTATAGTGTCATACTTCTGGATGGTCTGGAACAGAGATTGATTTAGTCCAATGTTGTGTTGTACGGATAGAATAAGGCCAGGCTGGGCCTTATGATGCAAAAATGCTTTATGACAGATACAATACAATATGACATGATACAAATAATTTAATACATATACCAGTACAAAACAATGCAATAAAAATGGTAGAAATACAAAAAAAAATCCATTTAGTACAATAAAATGTTACAGTACAAAATGATATAGTACAATATACAATGCAGTACAATATGGTAAGATACAATATTATAAAATACACATATCACACAGTTCCAAACAATACAATACCTTACTTTATCATATCTCATTATTCTATTCAGTATGAAATACTGTACCATACAATAAGATATATTATGTTACAATACAGTACAAATGTAGCAATACAACTGTATCGTACAATAATGGTTCAATACAGAAAGATACAATACAGTTTGATAGGATAGGGTACAATACACATCCATACAATACAGTAAGATCTAATGCAGTACAGTACAATATGATACAACACAATAATCTCTATTGTACTCTTGGGAAAATTTTGTTTTAGACTAGCTACTGTCCCAGACACTGACTTCATAAAAGATCCAATAATAAATGGATTATTAAGGAATCTTACACCACACAAGCATGATCCACCACTAATATACATTGTCCTGACAGAATGATACCTAATATTCAGTAACAGAACTGCTGACCTCAGAGGTGGAAGAACTTGTTGAAGGGACACAATTTCAGCAGCTCTACATCAATCAAATGTTTATTAGGGGTTGTTAGAGAGAGGACTTTTAATAAATGAGAATATCAGCATTCCTGAAAATGTAAAGTTTATAGAGATGAGGTTAAAAACAAAATCACTGTAATGTGTAAGACATTAAGAAGCAGCATCCACTAAAACGGCTGTCCTGGATGTTTGCTTCCCAGATTAAAGGACCTGAGAAGACCCTGGAAGAGAGGCGCTCCAGTCTGGATGCAGAGATCGACTCCCTCACCAGCATCTTGGCAGACCTGGAGAGCAGCTCCCCCTACAAGCCACGGAGCGCACAGGTAGATGAGCAAAACTTTACACTGTCACTAATACAGAGTCTATTTTCAGTGGTACAGAGTAACCAAACAGTCCTTATTTAATTTATTTTTTGGACGCTTTCCATTCTTAAACATGAACTATTGCACCTTTTTACTCCACTGCTTTCATTTAGTAGCAGATGTTTCTTTTCACTTTCTAGTAACGAGAAGGAAACTGATACCTTCGTGTCTGATCTCACTCAGTCAGCCTTAAGGAAGTRAATGCTTCGAACAGATTTAAAATGTGTGCTTTACATCCATAAAACCTCACAAGTGAAAATGGTTCTTCTCATAACGACTGCAGGTCACACAAGTTAACACAAACAGAGATTGGTTGTTACTTGGCAGGTTTGTAGTGAAGAACGAGCACAGGCACGGTATTTGTTGTTCCCTGGGAATGTGTTGTTGCTCAGGTATTGTGCATGTGTGTGTGTGCGAAGCGATGCCTTTTGATGTGGCTTATGCCAGTTGGACAGCACTTTGATGACAGTGTTTTTCTCATACTTGTAACACCTTAAAGAAACAACCAGCGGGAGTTCCCACACATGCAGATTTCATCATCTCACTGCAGAAAACGTTTTCAGCCCAAGTTAATTTCAGTCATCACCTGCTGTCTTTGGTGACAAACTGTTCTTGTCTCAGACACTGGTTAACAAATGTTATGTAGCCTTCTTTATGCAGAACAAAAACTTAGGTTATTGTCAGTGGCTGAAAGACAAAAAAAAGTAGGTGATGTTGTCAGTTTTACAGATACTGAGCCACAGTTTGGTATCAAACCAGCTGAGTTTTCCACAACACATAACTGCTTTCATATGATCTTGTTTGAAAACATCATTCATCATCATCCACCAGTAACTTCCCTCTAAATCAGTGATGTCAAACTCATTTTCACTAAGAGCCACATGAGTATCATTGTGACCCTCAGAGGGTCAGTTATAATTAATTTTCAATGTTTTAGAGCTGGGCGATATGATCAAAATTTTAAATCACAGTATTTTCAACATTTTCACCGGTTTCACGGTTATTTGACGGTATTTTTCTTTTCATCGCAGCTCAGCTGATAATAAAATTTACAAACCCTGCTTACTGACTTTTTTCTTTTATGTCTGTCTCTCTGTTTCCCWCCTCTGTGTCTGTTCTTCTCTGACTGGTGGTTGGAGACAGTAGTCATGRATTTTGGTCCAGTCGTGAAGGAGGAGGGTTAAGACAAGATTATGATCGGHTTTATTGTTTTATGTTATTTATTAAAGCTTTTCAGCACGACTCACCTTGCACACCAGTCAATTCTAACTCCACTACGCACTACTTCCTGCAGGCTTTTCACAATAGAA